TTTTTTTTTTTTTTTTTTTTTTTTGGATCATTAGGTACGGTAGAATTTTTGGATATCTTCTAGAATTCTAATTTATTGTCCTTTTCTTTTTGGAAAAAGGGAAAAAATTTGTCGATCTCAAATATTCACCGTACCCAGTAATCACTTGCTTATTCGTTTATTCTTATTCTATTATGTTTCTTTATTCCTTCTTAAATAGGTTATAAACTAGAGTTAATAAGAAATTGAAGCTAAAATTCCAGCTAATAATCTCGCTTCAATTTCTCATTCCATGTAAATGTAAATTTTCTTAATAAAATCGATCGATTTCTAACGATTATTTACATAATCGCAACTTACCGTAGGGGGTCTCTTTTTTCACTAATTTAGTATCTGTACCATTTTTACCGGCCGCTTCGGTGCTAGACGTTATCGGCGGATGAGTCGGGATATCCTGCTCTATGGAGCAATCTGGTCCACTCCATCCAACGTTGCAATAGCAGTTGTTCAAATTCGTGCACACCTTTGCGAGAACAAATATATTTATTTCGTTTCATTTCAAATTTATTTTTATTACTTTTTACGGCGAACAAAGTTTTCTTAAAGTCTTACTTACTCCATTTCCCGAGCACTCGTGATTGTTGTGATTGCTAGGACACCGTTCGTTGCCTATGAGCGGATAAAGGCTCATGCACGTTTGGTTCACGCAAATCTGAAACAAACAAGAGTTAAGCCACGTGTCACGTGCAATAACTTACAAGCTTTCTTCCATCCTACTCGTTCTCGTTTTGACAGAGTTAACATGTAGATCGAAAGCAAACAGCTTTGTTTCCTTTCTATTCCGTGATTTTGCATAATCGGATTAATAACAAGGATGATTACCATAGAATACCGTATTAACAAGTTTAAGTTTAATACGAAGTTCGGCCTTACCAAGTTGTCCCCGCAGGATGTTCCATCGCGAACCAATCCCATGCCTGGCATTTCGGATCCTTCCACCTTTCCAGTCGTGGATCTTTATGAAAAATGTAAATGTTATTTTAGAATATTTGAAGGGTAAGGAAAAAGGAAATGAAAAAAAATATAAAACGCTTACTTGCATTCGTATTCCTCGCCTTTTATCGAGATTATAGTTCTAGAATGATCTATTCCTATTATCGTTGGCAGTTTTCTACCTTGTTGACACTGTAACGATCCGCAACGAACGTTCCTAGGGAAATTATACAAACGCTTTATAATTTTTCTTAGGATTAATTTTTATGTTGTATTACACGTTTTATTATCCAAAATTTAAGGAATGATTTTTCGAGGGAAGATAAAACGAAAATTAAAAATAAGATAATTCCGTTTTTAGTTTCTTCGTTGAAAAGTTTGATTTTATGAAAATTATTGAAAATTAACATATCGTGAATGATGTGAATCGACGTTTTTCGATTTTCAAAAGATGGAAAGATATGAATCTACGTTTTTTGATTTCCAAGCGTTGGAGACAAAAAACTTGAATCCATGTCTTGTATCCCCACGTCTTTTGATTTTCAACGGTTGGGGATAAAAGACGTAAATCTTCCTGTTTCAATTTCCAAGCGTTGGAGATGAAAGACGTGGATCTATATATTTCGATTTCCAAGCGTTGGGGACAAAGGACGCGAATCTAGGTTTTTTGTTTCTCAATCGTTGGGGACAGAAGACGAAAGAATCTACGTCTTTTGATTTCCAAGCATTGGAGATGAAAGAATCTAGGTTTTTTTTGTTTCTTAACTGTCGGGGACGAAAGAATCTACGTCTTTTGATTTCCAAGCGTTGCGGAAGACGCGAATCGATTCGCGTCTTTTGTTTGCCAACTTTTGGAGACAGAAAACGCGAATCTTTCGATTTCCAAGCGTTGGAAATCGTGAATCTTCCTCACAAGGTGCTTACGTTCCAACGTCTTTCGTTTAACAATTCTTGGAGACGGAATCTACACGAATCTACATCTTTCGATCTTGTCAACCATTGAAAAAAGAGGATACGAATTTTCCTCACAACGTGCTTACGTTCCAACGTCTTTTGTTTAACAATTCTTAAGGGGCAGGAAACACGAATCTTTTGATTTCCAAGTATTAGAATCAGTAAACGTGAATCTATCCTTTCCAAGCCATTCCTTACATTCCAACGTCTTTTGTTTACCAAACTCTTGGGATCAGAAAACGTGAATATCTATCTCTTCCAAACATGAAAAAAGAAAAAAAAGTAAAATTACAACCATGCCAAAACTGTTCATCCACGATACATTAAAAATGAAATTAAAAATGAAATTAAAAACGCATATATCATTACTCTATCTTACTCTAGCTCGCATTTGATGTAATGACCGGAGGAGTCAGTGCCACAGTGTCCGCTCAGCGATCCCTTGGAATTGAATTGCTCGAAGCACTGTTGGTCCGCGGCAACGCCACCGTATCCCCATATCTGCTCGCATTGAAGATTCAACGCCGGGCAGACACCGTTATAACAATATCCATCGTTGTTGGAGCAAGGATTTCCGTTCTTCTTGTAGACGTCCGTCGGGCATTGGCCGGTCTCGCCTGTGCACACTTCCGGAAGATCGCATTCGTTGGTCGATTCCCGGCACACGACGCCACGCGCGAGCAGCTGCATTTTCAAAATCGCTCGAGATTAGATCTCAGCCGAGGTTCGAGCAGTCCAAAGCAGTGATTCCGTAGAGTGTAGAGAAGAGAGAAAGAGATCTTGATCTCCCTATCTATTTACCCTCCTCGAGCCTCTACACACCTTCTGTCCGCTTCCATTTATCGACGCGTTTATTGTACTCGTGGCTATCGGGCACGTACATCTTTAGGCAGAGAGGGGGAGAGGATGGAGGCGGAATGTTTGACGTGGAACGTATCCAAGATGTTGATCCGCGATAGAAATTGGAGAATTGCGGAGTGAGCGAGGGGAGAGGCGAGGAGGAGAAGAGAGGGGAGGGAGGAAGTGGAATGCAGGAGAAATGTTTTACCTTACAATCGCTGCAGCAAGGGCCGGTCGCGCATTGCGCTTCGGAGGTGAGTCTGCAGGTGATCGGATCGCAGCAGGGGTCGTACTCGTGACACTCCTCGATCGATCCGCAATCACATTGCTCTCCCTCGTCGATTACCCTGTTTCCGCAAGATCTCCTCACTTCGACCTGAAACGTACGATGAAAAATGAGCTTTGCGTTTCCTTGAGACAATTTTCTTTAACAGGCTTTTCGTTTCATTTCGTCGAGATCCTGATCGAAGATGAATTTACGTCGATCGATCACGCGTGATCCATGAAAAATATAGTTAAAAAAAGAAATGGAATAGTAAAGTGAAAAATTATGGGCAATAAAAATTGAGTAATGCGAAAATGTTTGAAGTTTTCTTTACAATATTTGCAGATTGATAGATTGTTGATTCAAAGATTGAGTTTCTATATATGATCAGTATTATATAAATATTGTCGTGTGAAAAAGATTTAAAGGCTCTTATTGATGAGATTTGTATAATTTCTTGTGAGATTTGTGAGATCTCTTGGCTAATTATTAACAAATGTTATATAAAAATGTCGGTGAGTAATTGAAGCTTACAACTTTATCCTCGCTTCATCTAATACAAACTTCAATTGCTTATAATTCAATAAAGAAGTGTTAATTAAGAATTTTTATATTTGTTTCTACAATCAAAAATTGTTCTTCAAATATATTGACATCGTGTACAGAGGACAGAGATTCGAATTAAAAGCTGGCTTGAAATGAAACGAGTCGAAGATAAAAAAAACTTTACATTTAAGATTAGAAATCGATAGGAAATACTTATTGAAACTTTCAAGCACCCTCGTGATTTGTTATCGTAAAATTGGGTTCGATGGGCTCGTTTCGTTTCAAACCGTAGATTTATTTGTTCAATCCTTTTACCTCGTTTGGTTTATTTAAAAGACAAAAGCCGTTTCCGCTTCTTAACACCTCTATGTAATCTGTTTTACTACATTCGGAAAACGTGTACGGCTGTACGTTCTCCAATCCAACGATCGATTGAGCCATGATGCATCCGTGCCATTCGCGGCAGATACATTCGCTCCCTGGAGAAAATTACATTTTAATGAAAAACTTGTCTTGAACTATGATTGGAATGGATGAATTTTTCATTCACGAATTAATCGTTCTGACAAATAGGAAGAATCAGATAAATAAATTCTTATGAATAAATTGCAAATGTTTATGCGAAATTAAATCTTTAAAGAAATGGAACTTAAATAAAGATTCGTTTCGTTTAAGCATTATAATGAAAATTGAGACATTTTGTGTGTTATTACATATCATTTTGTAAAATTTTGTACATTCAAATTTTGCATAAATGTATAAACATTTATATATAAGAATACAGTTACAGATAGAATGTTTTCTAGGTTCTTTAAATATTTTACCGAATTCAGGTAAACTACTGAATTTCAGATTTATTCGTCAGAACGTTAATTTATTAAAGAAACTATATTTGTAAGAGTAGAAACTAACTTCCATCGTCATGGCTCATTCCTATATTGTGGCCGATCATGTGAGCCATAGTACCGGCTAAAAGATGAGGCTCGTATGTATTCAAATCGACGCTAATTCCTACGGATTTTTGTTTGCAGATAGTCGAAGGTATGGCAACCCCTGATTCTCCACCGGCGAACGTTTCACCCCTGTGTATGATTCGAATTTCAATCTCGAGTCAGTCTCAGAATAGATTAAATGAAATTCATTCGACGAATACTTACGTGAGTAATTGAGTGGTATCACGAGGAACACGGAACATCGTTCGCATCATGTAATCGTTTAAATTGAGCAAAGCGAGATCGATATCCATGCCCGTCGCGATTTCCGCCTGGTTTATGCCCTGCCAGGTTTCGATGTATATGACGGAGACTCTAGTATTTAACGTGCGGAAATACTGTGAAAAAGAAGATTGAAATTAATTGAAATTCTTTATTCGCGATTATTATTGTTATAAAAGTAAAGATTGAACGAAAAAAATCGAAACTCCTTTACTATTTTCTAAATTTTTCGTTAGAACATCGGAAAAATATACGTTGAAAATTATAAAAAGTAATTTTCGTTTCATCTTGATTTCTAACCTATTACACTCACCATATCCGCGATATTAGCGACTTGGATGGCATCGTGAACAACCTCCGCTCTGGTGCTACCGTTCCTCTTCTCGAACTAAAAAATCAGGAAAAGAGAATATTTTTGTGAGGCTCGTAAAGGATAGTAAGATATCTAGCGATCGATTTTACGTTTTTATTTACGACAATTGATATCGTTAAAGTCAATAGTATCGATTCGTTTTACGTTTCCGACATTCGATAACTATTATTGTTGAATTACGCGAACACGTCGGGAAGGATGAAGTGAATTTAGAACCAGTTCTTCGAAACTTGCTTCAATGACGTCGTCGCGCTTTCCTTTAACGATTACAACCGTAATTGGCACTCTCTTAACTCTCATTGCTTTTGAGGACACGTTTCGCGCACTTTGCCGTCCAATAACCATCAAAAGTGATCGAATAAAGTACTACAAATAGTGGAAATATTACAAGTGTTCGATATTTTAAAATTACTTACTCGGAATAAATCGGAAAAATTCGGATAGGATCGTGATACTCATCTTGAAAGCTCCAATATAAATCGGTTCGAATCGTTAAATTTTTTTTAGCCGATCATGCCCGATCATTGCCGAGTCGATTGGAATCCAATAGATTCGGGATCCCGTCCGATCATGACCGAATTTCTCCGATCAGTCCCGAAGTTCTAGTTTCTCAATCACGTGACCATCGCGCACGATCCTTAAGACATAAAACACAAAGAAGAAATAGTATAAAGTTTCAATACCATAGCCTTATCGATAATGATGGCAGTTTCGATGTATTTGGTTGTTTCACGGACGTCTCTCTTGTATCGATCGGAAGTGGTCTCCGATAGCCCCAGAACATGTTTCTGCCGGCGGTTCTTTACACGCCACTCAAGATTTCCCGAGTTAGCGCAGCCTTTGTTAGCCTTTGTTCGAGCTTCAAATATAACGTGAGGATGTTTCTGCTAAAAGAGAGGTCTGCATATAGTTAACATTCTCCGAGCAGCCCGCCGCCCGCCTTTTAACGCCCGTTCCTCTATTCGATTATGGCTTATAACCAGTAGGGCCGCGGGCTTTTTGTTCCCGCATCTGCGCGAGGATCATGACCTACTATCGGCTTCGTCCAACTTTTTCTCGGTTAATTGTTACGTAGCGCTATTTGAAAGAATCCACCGAACCTTGCCGCGTCCCGAATCCGTCCATCCGATCTGGATCCTCTTTCTTGATTCGCTTTCGAGTATTATTCATCGATGGAGGCAACCGCGTAAAAGTTGAGAGAGACAGAGAGAGTTCACGAAATTCACCCGACAATTGAATTTTTTAGAAGGTGATGTTCGCGCATCCTGATTTTCTCGCGAAACGCGCACGACGAGAAATTGTATTTTTACTTTTTTTTTCGCCACGTTGTTACTTCGAGATCCCTTCATGAATAATAATGAAGGCACAACTCGTGCATATAAGATCCCCCTTCCTTACTCGTGTCGGACGAGCATATATAGGTTATCCCTGTCGTTTCATTCTCTACCTTGCGA